TATGCACCTATACACACACCCACATGGAACTGGTCTCCAAGAAAACTCACGAATTCAGTGTTACAGCCACTAACTCTCATTCCAGCACACAGTGCATTGGCTGCTCCCTCATTCTTAAACACCCTGAACTGGACAAATCTGGCAACAAATTCAACTGAAAAAGAAAAGGAAAAGAAAGTGAAATATTAAAAGAAGGGGCTAGAAACAGCTTGACCTGACAAGTGATTCCTTAAGGCCAGAGTCCAGCCTACAGTCCAACCCAGCACCTCTGTCTGTGGCCAGTGACAGGTGCAGCTGAATCCTTAACTAGCCCCTGTGGGAAATTCCCTCTGTGTGGAAAGACAGAACTAACCCTGGGACTTTACACAGGGATGCTCCTCTGTCTAGGACTTGGAGGAGAAATGAGACTCAACAGGGAGATCACCAAGAAGACCTTACAAGATCCAGCAAGGATCAGCCATGATCAGGTGTCACCACCTGCTTCTCTTCACACTTCTCCTCCAATCGCCAGATATGGATCCTCATCATCATCACTCCCCTCATCCACACAGAAAAACATAACCCAAATGACTTTGCCCATCTGAGATTTAACACTTGCAATATTACTATGCTAAAATATTTGTTGTGGAGCCGGCATTTTGCCATAGCAAGTAAAACCACCACCTGCAGTGCCAGCATCACATATGGGTGCCAATTCAAGTCCCAGCTGCTCCACTCAGTTCTGCTATGGCCTAAGAAAGCAGTAGAAGACGGCCCAAGTCCTTGGGCCCCTGCACCCACACTAGGAGACCCGCAGTAAGCTCCAGGCTCCTGGCTTCGCATCAGCACAGCTCCAGCTATTGCAGCCATCTAGGGAGTGAACCAGCAGATGGAAGACCTTTCTCTCTCTGCCTCTCCTTCTCTCTGTGTGTAACTCTGACTTTTAAATAAATAAATAAGTCTTTAAAAAAAAGTTTGTCTTATGATCATTAATAGCTTATTCTTCAGTACAGAAATTACTTTCTCTCATCATATTGCCAGTTTTTCTTTCCTGGGAACAGTATCTTGTGCCTTTCCTTAACTCTTACAAGAGGTAAATTCCCACTTTTGATCATATCAGGAGCAACTTAAGCAACTTACGTTAGTGAAGCTATACCCTAGTCAAGCATATTGGATCTCTTCTGTACTAATTTTCTCAGAAATGGGATTATCATGTCATCATTGTCTCATGATAAATAAATGACAGAAGACCATGTTGAGTTCCTAGAGAACAGTCAGGCATGTTGTAAGTGCTCAGTGAATACCAGCAATAATGAAATGTCAGTGATAATTTCCCGTGAAGGCACCAAAAGGTTAATGGTGCCACTCACTCCAACCCACAGGTGAGTAATAAGATGCAGTTTTCTCAGCATCACCAAAGTCATAGAGCACAGGAATCGCTGGGCCGTTGTCAGACATACACTTCCCCGAGCCGTACTTCACTGGGTATGTCTTCAAGGCGAAAAGAGAAGTTGAGTGAGGAGAGTGGAGCAACTGCCAAATTGTGAAAAAGTAGGAGTCCCTACAAGCCAATTCATTACTTAGAAACCACTTTCAATAACACTGATTCCTTTCTCCCCAGAGCTATGTCTCTCCAATAGTCCCAAGCTCCTAGTCCCTGCCTCTCTCCCCAGCCTCCACAGTTCTCCGCCCTTCCTTTGCTCAGACTTCTGGGAGAGGCAGGACATGGATTCACAGTGAACCACAAGTAGGAGAAACAGGCAAGCACAGGTGCTCAGAGGTTATGTGGGACCAACAGAGCTGACTTGCTCCACCCCTAACACACGCTCCCTGTTCCCCAAAGTGCCCACATCCAGAGCCCTGTGTACCTGGTAGAGGCCAAACAGATTGTGTCCCAGATGCTGGAAGAAGCCAGTGTTGGTGCGGTACCTCAGCAGGGAGCTGTTCCTCCAGTGCTGCAGGGGCGTCTTGTTGGGCACGTGCCAGATTTCCAGGTCCTGGGCCTGGATGTCGTAGTAGCCGGGGTTCTGGGGGGCAGCACATACTGAGACAACCAGCCCAGGAGGTCCCATCTGGTGGAAGACTCCCATGGGTAGCCCTGGCTAAACTGGTGGCTCGGAGCTCAGGTGGGACATGGACAGCAGCCTCAGACAACCCCACGTTCAGCAAACAATGACTCCCCACCACTACTCCAGTCCATCATGTAGACATCTAAGCCTTCTTCTCCAACCCTACTCCATGTCCCTACCCGAGAGCTCTCCCTCCTGCCTGCATGTGGCCCTGCAAACTCAACTCCTCACCTTGCCCAAGTGGTGGGAAAGAGGCATGGTACCAATCTTGTAGTCATCACTTGTGGCTGCCTCCACAGACCCAAAGGTGTTGTAATTGGCCCAGTTGCCTTCCCCCTCGGGGTAGTCTGCTCTGCTGCCCTGCTGACTGGACCATCTATCACCCAACATGCACTCCCAAGCCATGAGGTCTCGTGCACACTGGCCACCAGAGTCCAGCCACCACCCCCTGAGGCCATATCGCAGAGGTCTAGTAGATGACCCCATTCTCAGTACAGAGGAAATACAGGCTGTAGAGAGGACCAGATATGCAAGCTCTTGGTGGGGCTCATCATAACCCAGAAAGGCCCTGGGAACCAGGAACACAGCGTAATGTCTCCCCGACCCTGCATCCTTTACCACACGTGCCTAAGGCTGCTGCAAGCACCCCAGGTTCAAGAGTTCTTGGCCCTGTGCCTAGGGCAGACCTACAATGTGCAAAAAGAATATTTATAAATATATTTATTATAGAACTTATATATTTATATGTATATTTTGCCACAAGTTTTTCAAAACTTCTAAAGGAAACTACACTCTCAGAGGACAGACCCTAACCACACTGCCTGGTTTTGCCTAGATGTCTCAGCACTCACCGCGTGATTTAGGGCACTCTTGTTTTATTTCCTTGCAGCTTCTGGGCAGATTTGGAGAATACAACAGTTCCATTCCAAGGGATCTATATAGGCCACAGCTACGGAATAAGCAGAGTTCGAATCTCATTCCTGCTTTGACCCAAAATCCAGTGTCCTTTTGTCCCAGATCCCAAAACCATTGTACCCTTACTGCAGTGCCCAGCTGCCCGCGATCCACAGCCCTGGGAGACCCAGATCAGCTCCATAAAGCTCTGCTGACCCTGCACTCAGCAGGCTGCATGCACAACCCCTCCACTTTACACCAACTGTGACCCTCCTTGCCCTAGACACTGGGCATTCCAACACACTCAACATCCCCACGAATTGCCTCCCCGGGGACAAATGGATACTCAACAAAATTATATGGAGAAGAATAAATGAAAAGAGATAGACACGCCAGCAAACCAAAACAAAGTGTGTGATATGAGAGGGGATAGGCCAGAATGGAGGCAGGAGTCGTCAGGATGGGATGTGTGAGACCCAGGAGGATTCTGAGTCCAGGCGACACCCAAGTGTGTTCTTAGGAAATATACAAGATTTCTCTGTAGGATAAAAGAGAAGTGAATTAAAGGCAGGGGGAACACGATATCCAAGACCTTGTAAAAAAAAAGAAATCATAATTCAACCTACTCAAAAAATTAAGTAGCTTAACGTGGCTGAACCTGAGGTGTGATGTAGGGAAGAGGGAGACAGTGGCCAGGAGACTAACAGAAACACAGAATGAAGACCATTGTATGTAACTCCAGCTCTGTAAACTGCTCTAAATGTCCGTAGGAATGGGAACAACTATGATCTGCAAGGGCAGGGGTGTTCAAGTGCAAGGGACCCAACCCTCACCACAGTATCCTTAGATTTAACTTCACATAATGAAGCCTCATCATCCTTGTTCCTCAAATAAGCTACCAAACAGAGCTTTGTGAAGATTAAGGAAAAAGATATCTAAAAACATTTTTTCATGGAAAAAAAGGAAACACGAAATAAAATACAGATGTTAAGATGACATCACTCTGATTTTTTAGGAAAACCATCAAGACAACATTTCTGAGCATAAAGCTGACTATGCCCTTCCCATGGAAACTCAAGGTCAAGACCACAGAATGAGGAATAGCACAGGACAGACAGTTTCACTGGAGCCTCCACAGGATCACACAGAGGCACAGAACCTGGCCCCAGCCAGTGCCACGGGAAACACCCTCCCAGCTATGGCTCTGTACCCCTGGTGGCCAGAAATGAGCAATCAGCCCACGTACTTGTAGATCTGTGAATGCAGTCTGTTGAAATCTTTACTTAGTATATACTAAGTTGACCTTCTGTATATAAAGATAATTGAAAATGAATCTTGATGAAGAATGGGATGGGAGAGGGAGTGGGAGATGGGATGGTTGCAGATGGGAAGGAGGTTATGAGGGGGAAAGCCTCTATAATTCAAAAGTTGTACTTTGGAAATTTATATTTATTAAATAAAAGTTAAAAAAAAAAGAAACACCCTCTCTAGCCTGGATCCAGCCTCGTTCTGCTGTTAAGCTCCAAAGCTGAGCTGGGAACCTGCTGCTCCCAGTGTGAGGACTCACCTGCACTTTGCCATCCTGTGGCCACAAGGAGGAGCAGCAGGAAGCCCCGCTGGGTCACGGCATCCTAAAGAGAAGGAAGATGAAGGTCACAGCCTTGACATATTGGGTCTGTAAGTCTGTGCTCCATTGGACACTCTTATAAAGACTCTAGGATCCCTTGCCTTTGGTTAAACTCACACATCCCTGGGACCAGCACCACGGCAGCCTCCCTGATTTGAAGACGGGGCTCTTGTACTAACAGAGCTTGTTTCTGTCTGTGACAGCAAATTGTTTTTTCAGCTGTCTGCTGTGCACAGACTTAATTACTTTCAGTTTGATCTGCAAGAAATACGCATCAAGCCTTGTAATATTAAGAAACAAGCAGTTTATTTAAGTAGCAAATTTTAAGAAGTAGGAGAGAGAGAGAGAGAGAGAGAGAGAGAGAGAGAGAAAGAAAGAACAGGGAGGGAGGGGGAGTCCCTAAGAGTAGGGGACTCAACCCGGGAATTTACCACTAGGCAATCTTCACACAGCACTGGAAAAGGATCCATACTGAAACCCAAATATCATCAGTAATCATCACCAGCACATTCAACGTTCAGTTTGACTGCGTGTTCCCCCAGGATGAAACAGCAGCAGCAGAGGCTTGCTCTGGCTCCCTCTTAAAGCCCCCAAGACAAAGGTGGCTCATTGCCAAGATTTTAGGCAAGCAGTGCATCCCGTCTCGGATCTTGGCCAGAGAGCCAAGACGAATCATGCCCACCTGTTTATCAAAAACATTCCTTTATCCTCCCCAGGAACTGGCCAGGCTCCCAAGGAGCAGGAGAAGGTCATCCGGCAGACAAGTTACTTGTTTACCAGAGCCGAACCTAGATACAAGCCTCTCCATCCTAAAAATTTGTCCTTACACTGTCCCAGCTGCACCTTCTCCAGCATGGATCACACCGTCCTCCCCTCCAAGCCTGCACAGCAGCTAAGTGGAGACAGGGAGCTCTCTCTGCAGAGGTTCCTGGTGCGGAGTGAGAAGCTGAGCCCTTTATGGTGAAAGCCCAGTGGAGCCCCACACCCAGGTGTCCACCTCACCTCACCCAGTGGAGGGACAGTCCTAGTTGTCTAAAGGAGGGTCCTTTATGCAGTGTTAATTTGTGTAATTTCAACAATTTTAAAGGTTATATACAGGCACGCATCCAAAATCTCGGAAACTCATAGACCATCGCCTTCTCCAAAAGAAAACTCAAGTAGGTGAGCAAACCACACAAAGTCGGTATTATTTGGTTTTTTGTTTGTGTCTTTCCTTAAAATAAAAACTTTTTCAGTTAATTTTCAACACTTAAGAATAACTGTGCATCAATTACAGATCTAAACCAGTCATATTAAGTAGAACAGATAAAAAAAACTACTAAGAGGGATAATGTATTAAGTTGTTCATTAACAGTCAGGGCTATGCTGATCAAGCCACCATTTCCCATAGTGTCCACCTTACTCCAACAGGTTTCCCTCTTGGTGTTCAGTCAGTCGTCACCGATCAGGGAGAACATATGGTATTTGTCCCTTTGGGACTGGCTTATTTCACTCAGCATGATGTGTTCCAGATTCCTCCATTTTGTTGCAAATGACTGGATTTCGTTGTTTCTTACTGCAGTATAGTATTCTAAAGAGTACATATCCCATAATTTCTTTATCCAGTCTATCGTTGATGGGCATTTAGGTTGGTTCCAGGTCTTAGCTATTGTGAATTGAGCTGCAATAAACATTAGGGTGCAGACCGCTTTTTTGTTTGCCAATTTAAATTCCTTTGGGTAAATTCCAAGGAGTGGGATGGCTGGGTCGAACAGTAGGGTTATCTTCAGGTTTCTGAGGAATCTCCAGACTGACTTCCATAGTGGCTTAACCAGTTTGCATTCCCACCAACAGTGGGTTAGTGTCCCTTTTTCCCCACATCCTCGCCAGCATCTGTTGTTGGTAGATTTCTGCATGTGAGCCATTCTAACCGGGGTGAGGTGAAACCTCATTGTGGTTTTGATTTGCATTTCCCTGATTGCTAATGACCTTGAACATTTTTTCATGTGCCTGTTGGCCATTTGGATTTCCTCTTTTGAAAAATGTCTATTGAGGTCCTTGGCCCATCTCTTAAGTGGGTTGTTGGTTTTGTTTTTGTGGAGTTTCTTGATCTCTTTGTAGATTCTGGTTATTAACCCTTTATCTGTTGCATAGTTTGCAAATATTTTTTCCCATTCTGTCGGTTGTCTCTTCACTCTCCTGACTGTTTCTTTTGCAGCACAGAAACTTCTCAATTTGATGCAATCCCAATAGTTGATTTTGGCTTTGACTGCCTGTGCCTCCCGGGTCTTTTCCAGAAATTCTTTGCCTGTGCCAATATCTTGAAGGGTTTCTCCAATGTTCTCTAGTAACTTGATGGTGTCAGGTCGTAGATTTAGGTCTTTAATCCATGTTGAGTGGATTTTTGTGTAAGGTGTAAGGTAGGGGTCTTGCTTCATGCTTCTGCACGTGGAAATCCAATTTTCCCAGCACCATTTATTGAATAGACTGTCCTTGCTCCAGGAATTAGTTTTAGATCCTTGATCAAATATAAGTTGGCTGTAGATGTTTGGGTTGATTTCTGGTGTTTCAATTCTGTTCCATTGGTCTATCCATCTGTTTCTGTACCAGTACCATGCTGTTTTAATTACAACTGCCCTGTAGTATGTCCTGAAATCTGGTATTGTGATGCCTCCAGCTTTGTTTTTGTTGTACAAGATTGCTTTAGCTATTCGAGGTCTCTTGTGCCTCCATATAAATTTCAGCACCATTTTTTCCAGATCTGAGAAGAAGGTCTTCGGTATCTTGATTGGTATTGCACTGAATCTGTAAATTGCTTTTGGGAGAATGGACATTTTGATGATATTGATTCTTCCAATCCATGAGCATGGAAGATTTTTCCATTTCTTGGTATCCTCTTCTATTTCTTTCTTTAAGGTTTTGTAATTTTCATCGTAGAGATCTTTAACGTCTTTGGTTAAGTTTATTCCAAGGTATTTGATTGTTTTTGTAGCTATTGTGAATGGGATTGATCTTAGAAGTTCTTCCTCAGCCATGGCATTGTCTGTGTATACAAAGGCTGTTGATTTTTGTGCATTGATTTTATACCCTGCTACTTTTCCAAACTCTTCTATGAGTTCCAATAAACAAGATAAGAGTCGGAGAACTCAGAGGGCTTCCATAGCCTTGGAAACTCATAACTGGTGCATGGGGAGATTACTGATGCCATAAACAGGAGTGTCAATTTGTAAAGTCAACAACAGGAGTCACTGTGCACTTACTCCTCATGTAGGATCTCTGTCCTTAACGTGCTGTACACTGAGGCTTAATGCTATAACGAGTACTCAAACAGTATATTTCACTTTGTGTTTCTATGGGGGTGCAAACTGTTGAAATCCTTACTTAATGCATACGAAACTGATCCTCTGTAAAAAAAAAAAAAAAAGAAAGAAAAAAAAAGAAATTATCAATTCCCAACTTGACTCTCACTGGGATTAAACATGACAATAGGTCTGCTCTGATTTCATCATCATTTAAAAAAATCATCTATTATTTTTCACTTTATGTTTCTGTGTGGGAGCAAACTGTTGAAATCCATACTTAATGTATACTAAGCTGATCTTCTGTATATTAAGATAATCGAAAATGAATCATGATGTGAATGGAAGGGGAGAGGGAGTGGGAAAGGGGAGGGTTGTGGGTGGGAGGGACGGTATGGGGGGGAAGCCATTGTAATCCATAAGTCGTACTTTGGAAAATTATATGCATTAAATAAAAGTTTAAAAAAAAAAAAAAAACTTTTTAAAATTGACCATGTACCCTCTTCACAGAAAAAGGAAATTTTAACATAAACCAGAAAAGGGTCAGTTCAGAATCAACATAAACATTCAGCTTGAATCAATGCACTGCTCCACAGACTTTTTATTTCCACAAACAGGTGAAACGGTACTACAAATGCATTTTCTAATAAATCAGCACAAATTCCCTGGGATGACTCACCCCTCCTGTATCGTTCCTGTCTTGATGTCATTCTTCAGTTCTCAAGAGCCCTGTTCAGCTATAATAGAATTGACCAGTTCCTCCTCAGTAATACCACATGCCTAATATAAGTTTACTATGACCTTGGTGATATGCAATCTTCAGAAAAACATCACCAATCATTTCTTTGAAGCCAATATTTTCTGGGTTTATACGTTCAAAGTACTGCTTTACACAAAACTCTCAGACATGTTGATTGAAAAAAAGCATGAAGAAGAAAAGCTCAGTAGAACATTTATAGTTCTGTCACTGGAGAAAAGACCATGGAAGCCATGGGATTCTTGTCTTCATGCAAGAAAGAATTCAGGTGTGAGACAGAGAGCAAAGTGATAAGGTTTTATTGGGGATAAGGCATCTGTCAGAATGGAAGAGATAGGGAGAGAGTGCCCAGTAACTTGGACTGAAGGAGAGTGAGTTTCCATGGTTGAATGGGGAGAATACACTGGCAGGCCAGGTAGGGTGCTCAGCAGAGAGCTGAGCAGTCTTTGTTTGGACTCCCTAGGTTTTTAAGGGAGTCTGTTTACCCACCTCCCCCTCTCCTCCAGGAAAAAAGGATGGGGAGTCCTAGCAGAAGGATTTGTTGGGTAAAAATTAGCACATTCCTCCCAAGATTTGCTGGACAAGGCAGAGTAGAGGGGCTTCCCTTAGGGTGTCTGAGAAGGTTTCGTTTCCCCATGTTATCAGGTCAGGTAACCCATTTGGTCCTGAGGAGAGAATTTCCCTGGGAGCTTTCCTTGGAGGAAGGGCTGGGAACACCTGGAAGGTGATCAGGGTCTGAGCCAGACTTTGAAGTGCAAAATGCTGGACTTCAGGAGCTTCCACAGTAGGTGCTGGTCTTCAGGCCCTTCTCATACACCCATAGGCTAATTCCTGATTTCCTACCTAACACTTCTTATATACTTTTCTCATTGGTTTCTGAAATGCTTTGGATTTTTACATCTTCAGCATCATTAGCATCTCATCCTCAGAGACACATGAATCATAGACTAATTTGCAATTGACAGCATCTAAGAATCTAGGGAAAATGACAATCTTTGGTAGGGAGGTCACCCTCTTTGAACCATCATCATCTGACAGTGACTGTGTCCCATTGGCTGACTCGTCCTCCCAGTTCGGGTCTACATCTATGATGAAGCTTTCCACTGGGAATATGAGCAAGCCCATCATCAGGTGGGCACAATAAAAACTACAAACATCACCTCATGAAACAGGACATGAGGGAGCAGCCAGGCTTGGGCGTGTGTGACACAGGCACTCCTGGATCGACAACTTCAAGGCCCTTGGCTGTGGGCTCTTCCTGTCAGGATGGTGGGGCAATGGCATTCTTCGCCAAAAAGCACCGGGGAAAGTTTCAGTTAACATGTCCATTCATTAGCAGTTAGGCACAAGCTTTTATAGAGCAGGCAAAAGGGAGTAGCAAGTTCAGGATAGCAACACTAATTGTATAGGATAAAGCCAATAGTGGTGCCACTATGCTTCTCCAATCAGCTTGAAGGTCACGTAGCCCACGTAGCCTTCCAGGCGGTCTTATGGGTTTAGGCCACATC